TATTTTTTAAAGTAATTTCCATTTTTAATATACGTTAGTCTTTTTAATACTGTTTAATAGAGACATAATTGAAGTGAAAATGAGTAAATAATACTGTAAATTGCTAGTTCCTGTATTTTTTAGTGTATTTATCCACACAAATTAATTTGCAAATTCAGTATTTTTGATCAAGGTCAAACCAAATGATTTATTAAGAAATTTTGAAAACAATAAACACAACAGAAACCAATTCTTCTATGGGCCAGTTAGGAAATGGTACTGGTTTTAGAAATTTTAAGGTTTAAGGTCTCTGTATGGTACTGGGGCTCTGCTTAAGCCTCATTGATTTTTAGTGGGAGTTGCTGGACCTATTGAAAAGAAAATAGATACCTTTGAATGTTCAGCAACAAAGAAGCAGCTCCCATCTCTGTGTTACTCTAGTGACAAATGTTGGCTGGCTTCTCAGCACAAAAGAAAAGAGCTCTTTCAATAGACAGAGCTTATACTTGCAATTCTGATGCTGTCAAGCTTGAAAAGGAAAATCCTACCATCTCCACTGTCCTTATATCTGGAGTCAGTATCACTTGTAGGTAATGAAACAACAGGTACCTTGCAAATCTCTGTGTACAGAGATGAAAAAAATCAGGATTCAGCTTACAAAGACAGACAGCAATCCCTAACAGCAAAGTAAAACAATCATTGCAGTATGAAATATTTCAGATGAGTCCTGTGGAAATAAATTGCTGTTTCCCTGTGGTAAATTACCATTGCCTTATGGTAACAGCATAAGAACCTTCTGATTTGATAGTTCAATATGAAGGAGTTTCTCAAACAAATGAGGAATGTGGGGATTTCTTAATAGTATAAAATGAAACAAATGTCACAGCAATTGCTGTATTGAAGCAAAGTCGTGATTTACTTGGTCTGTTACGCACTAAATCAGCATGGAACATGTACTAATAGTAGTTTTGGCAAGCAGGAAGCAGGGCAAAGCAAAGATGGTTCGTGACTATTTGGACTGTAATCCTGCAGCCCCATGTTTGTGTGTAGCTTCTCAAAGCTGCTGGCAGTGTGGGAGTGGGAAGAAGCCACTGGTAAAGGGTCTTTACTGAGCATGGAGAGAAGGAGGAGTAAAGTTGTAAGCAGGCTCACAGCAGATGATTAGGATAACAAGGGATCACCCCTGACTTTGACAGCAAATGTGAGGACAGTTTACAAAATTAATTCTGGCACAGTCCTACAAACTTGGCTTTCTTGTTTAGAGTGTGGTTATTTATTCCTTTTAATAGCTAAAATAAGCTGTTGTGTAGATGTAGTGTCATATATTGTATAATGGAAAAAGAGAATGTTGGCATCAGGTCATTCTAGTGCTATTCTTAATATATAATGGGATGCCATTGAATTTAATAATCTGTAGATTACTTAAATGCTGTTTAGAGGAAGAAGCATTCCCTGATAATGGTGGCTTCAAACGATAGAGTGCTATCTCACCCCGGTCACTCCTCTATTAATTATTTATGTTCATCCTTGAAAGCTGCTCCATTTGCAACTAGAAAGGAATATCCAAGCACTTTGTCCTGTGCTGTTTTTTAATATTAAATTACATTTATAAAAGCAGATTTTTTTATTTATTTCTTTAAAATGCATAATTTCTTCATGAGTTTAAGTGCATAATGCTTTCTGTACTTTATTATTTTGCTCTCTGTACTTTATTATTTGAGTCCCTTTACCTCTATAAAATTTCATTTAATTTTCATTTTATGCATAGAGTGAAATGCTTTTCAGGAACTTTCCTTCATGTTGAGTTTTTGTAAGCATTTGAAGTACAAATTCTACAAAATAGCAAAATTACTCTAATAGTATATTCTTAGGAGAAATAGGAAATCAACACACCATACTGCTGTAACAGCTTTTATTTTCTGTTTTGCATAGGTTCTAACTTTCAAATGAATTTTCTGTTAAGTGACATAGTAAAAACACTGAAATATAAAAAAACATTATATGTGATTCATGAAAGCCTTCATTGGTCCAGTCCTCTACTTCTTTACAAGACCAATGAATTACTTTCAATTGGATACATATGATTTTTTTTATATCTCAGTCAATTTACTGAAAGAATGTTGCAGAAGACATTAATATTTCTGCCAAAAAAAAAATAATAATCATCTCTATTGTGATCATTGTAACTTTGATTTGCGTCTGTCCATTTAATCACAAAGAAGAGGAGTATCCTCATTGTGTTCTTGCGTGGGTTGTGGATGTCAGGATGCAGAGAATTGTTCCGTCATACTCATTTCTGATAATTTTTTTTAAGGATTTTAAAGCAAGTTTTTGTTGGCAAATCTTCATGAATTCTCAAAGACATAAAATTTCAGTTACTATTTCTCTAACCTCAGTTCTTCTGCCTTGCATATGACATCTAAAATTCATCACACATGCTTTTACATTTTAAGATGGCTCATTTTAGTGTGACACCACACGGACTCAGTGATACTAAAGGTTTTTTCCAGCCTAAGTGACCCTATGAATTTCTGTGAATATATTGTTTTGTATAACTTAATCATAATTCAATCTCAAATGAATAGCTAAACTAATAGCAAAACGAATGCAATCATTCTTTTCTAGCCTTTTCTCTAAGCCTTTAGCACTTCTAGGAATTTTCTCAATTCCAGCTACTCGTGAACACATTTATAATAGTGATGTGGGGTTTCTCACTATTTTTTTTTAAAGAAAGGAGAAAAAATATTTTGGTAAATCCATGTAAGTGCTATAATACAAATAGAAATAGCACAGCCCTTTTCTGAGACTTTCTAAAATCAGAGTGATTATCTATTACAGAGGCATATTTCCTAGCAGAAAATATTCAAGGTGTTCCTTACTAACTAAATTTGTATTACTGTGCATGCAGGGAGCCATGAAATTCCAGGAGTGTAACAAAAAGAACAAAGGCAGTCAGCATGCTTTTCACAGCATTCTGAAACATAGACACAAGAGGATGAGGTGTGTGAACATTAAATTTTAAAAGCTTCTTATACTTCAGAAAGCCTTTAAAACTATAAAAAATTTAAAGGATTTATAAAAACTACATATGCACAGTCATCAAAAGAGCTTGAAATATGTTTGGAAAGATCAAAGAGGAATATCATACATTATCATATGATGGAGGAAGGAGAAGAGAGGGAGAAGGGAGAACAAATTTCTGGAGTTTGGTGTTGCAGGTGAAGCACAGAACTGAGGATAAAGGTCTGCTTTTCACAGTCTTCTCTGGCACACAGTGTTTGCCATCTTCACTTTTTATATCCATCTTAGTGCTACTTAGAAAACTGTAGAAGGAGGTGGGGTGTGAAATGTCTGAACAACCCATGATATTCTGTGGAAAAGAAATGTGCCAGTTTTAGTGCTTGAATGGCTGTAATTATCATATTGTGGGCGAAAGTGCTGAAGGCTTAACATTTCAGTGAAGTATGGTAGGATTATACAATGCAAGATGTTGATATATACCTATAACTTTCATATGATATAGTGTGTCATTAAAAGCAACAACAGAACACCCGTTGCCTTAAGGCTAAAACCATAGATGAAATTTAGGTATTTTCTAAAGGTCCCTTTATATAGATTCTGTGGATTATTTGCAATAGGCTTACTCTGTGGCACTTGGCAGTTCAAAGAGTTCCTTTGGTTTTACTATGGCAAGTGTACTGCCAAACTTGGGATTTCAGTGCACTCCCTTCTAAGCAATTACAATGTCCTTCAGGATATTTAAGGAGCTATTTATACAGCTTGCATCTTTATCTCCCTTTTTCTGTCTTCTTTTTTTTTCACCTTAATTTAAGGGGTGATGTCAGGTTAAATTTTGATCAAGTTTTACATTTATTAAGTTTTCTTTAAAAATATAAAACAAAGAAGCCACAAAAGCAAAAAACAAACATGACATGTTTGCAGGTTTGCATGGCCAAATTTTAGTAGTAGAGGGTTTACAGGGGTGGCATCTGTGAGAAGGTGCCAGAAACTTCTTCCGTGTCTGGCAGCGCCAATGCATGGCATTGCCAAAGATGGATTTGCCGCTGGTCAAGGCTGGGCCAAATAGAATTGGTGGTAACACCTCTGTGATAACAGATTTAAGAAGAAGAAAAAGAAAAATTATTGTGCAGTCGTCACTGCATCCAGAGAAGAGTGAGGTGAGACTATGTGAGGGACACTGCACACACCAAGGTCAGTACAGAAGGTACTACAGGAGGTGCTTCTGGTGATGGGTCTGAGATTCCCCTCTCAAGGTGCAGGTCATGATGACACAGCTGTATAGCCCTTGGAGGAACACAGGGATGCAGAGATCTACCCACAGCCCATGAAGGAGAGCCAAGCTTGAGCAGGTGGATGCCTGAGAGGATGCTGTGAACCTGTGGGAGGCCCATGCTGGAGCATGGGTCCTGACAGGGACCTGCAAATTCATGGAGAGAGGAGCCCATGAGAGAGAGCAGGCTGTGACTGAAGGGCTGTAACCCAGTGAAAGTGACCCACATTTTAGCAGTTTGTGGAGAACTTTTGCCCATGGGATGGACTCATGTTTATTAATGGAGAACTCTCTCCCATGGGAGGAACCCCACTCTGGAGCAGGGGAAAGTTTTCTCTCCCTGAGCAGTGGAAGGATGTATGATGAACTGATCATAACCCACATTCCTTGTCTCCCTGTGCCACCGGGGAAAGGAGTTAGAGCTGGGAAGGAGGGAGAATTGTGGAAAAGGTGTTTTTAAAGTATTATTTTACATCTTATTTTCCTGCTCTTTTATTAGATTTTATTAGCAATAAATTCAATTACTCTCTAATTCGAGCCTGTTTTATCCATGATGGTATTTGGTGAGTGATCTCTTCCTGTCCTTATCTCAACCCAGGAATCCTTTGCTATATTCGTCTCTTCCTCCAGCTGTCAAGAGGACTGATAAAGAGGCTTTGATGGATTCCTGGCATCCAGCCAGGGTCAACTCACTACAACAGCCCCCACCCCAATCAATATGAAACAAAGCAATAGTCTCACAGTTATATTTGAAGTTACTGTGTTTTTGCAACTGAAATAATACATTGTTTCTTAAGTGTTAAAAGAGATTAAAAATATATAAAAAGAAAAGACAACTAAATAATTAATATTCATTGTTCAAGCAGGTGAATACAAGTAACCTTCCCCAAAAATAGCAGTAAATTCCTCATGGTAACTTATTTCTGTGTACTCTTTCACTTTCCATTTGTTGCTCTTTATGGGTTTTTCCGAAACAATTCATGATTTGTGCTTGGATAGATCACAAACTTTTGTCTCCAGATTATCTTGCCCAGAGAGTGAATGAATTTTGTTGGTTCAGAATTCAATTTGTCACAAGCACTCGCAGTCGGTACCAATTGCTACTATACTCTGCTAAAAAACCAGTTTCTGCTTCTTTATGTTTTCCTGCTGTCACTCTAAAATCTTCTGTACTTGCGTACTGGATTTTGTCTTGTGAGGTCTGGAGTCTTCCTGTAAAACCTATATGGGCCATCAGTGAGGTGCCTCTTTCACCACTTTCTAAACCTGAAGTCACATAATAGCTCTTACCATACACTGCATTGAGTATGAAAGATCTCCTAATTTGTCTGTGGTAACTGCTTTTGAGACATGGTCCTTTGGTGCTTTGCAGTGAGGAGCCAGCAAGAGTCTAAGATTTTTGATCTGTTTCAGAGAGAATAGCCATCCATGATAGACATGAAACTATAAAGAAACAAATAAAGAACAGATTCCAGTTACTTCCACTGTCTGTTCCAAACTCACATATATCAAAATTGTTTAACCTGTAAGAGCCATATTTTGAATTTTTAATATTATCAGAGCACTGAAATGAGCAACTTCATAAAAGTGTTTAGATGCTTTATATACTTAAAATGTCCATGAGGCTTTTCATGATCTACTGAGGTTTTCAAAGAGAGGTGTATTGCTTTATGATGCCATTTATTTCCTCTCTCATATAGTCTCTCCTTGTGTTTAATGTTATCTTACAAAAAACTACAGTATTTTTCCTCGAGAGTTATCCCAACATGTTTTGTAAATGACATAGTCTGGATTTATTAAAACTCAATGTAATTCTATTAAGCAGCCTCTGAAAATAGGTATGTGCATGTACAGTTCCATATTTCTGACTGCCCTGTGAGGAATACAGAAATGCTGCACATCATATTTATAAGCTCCATCTTGAATTCTTTCTGCAAGTAAGACTCCCACTGAAGCCATCAAGTAAGTTACTTTTACAAGGAATGCAGACTCATATTCAAAGTGAATTTTTCTTGTTATAGACCAAGCCAAGGGATTCTGACGGAATACTTAGTTTTGCCTTTAAAATTTACAATGAAGTTTTAAGCCTCTAAGCAATAGCATTACAGGAGAAGAGGAAGGGCATACAGTGACAATAAAGTAGCACTTCCCAGCATAAGCAGCAAGCCAATTCACTTCTCATCAGATGCCTCATAACAAAATTATTGGATGATGATTTCTGGGGAAAAAACAAACAACAAAAAAGTGATTTTTGTAAACAAATAAGCAGAATAAAAGAAACAAAATGATAAAACTGTGTCAAAATGTGGCTTTAATTCCTTAGCCTGCACACTCTTACAAAAATGACAGACTAGATTTGCTTACTTGTGTTTGGATTGGCATATGCTTTTTTTTCCTGCACGTCCTAATTGCCAGCAAAGACTCTTATCAGAAGTTCTTGCGATCTTCCTGTCCCAAGTTATCATTTGCTTGTTTATTATGCTCACATAATGTGCTCTCATTATTTAGGAATTTTGAAACATGTGAAGTCTAGGCATTATATTAAAAAACAAAATGCATTTAGTGGCTTTTATTTATTTATTTATTTATTTTATTTTATTTTTAAAAAGCAAACAAAAAAGGCATTATTTTACAAAACAAAAAGCAAACATACTATTGAAATATTTTGAAATTTTAAAGCAGTTTTGGCTTCACCAGATCAGAATTCTCAGTTGCCATAGTAACAAAATTATGCAAGAGGGAATTAAACATCATTACAATCATTCCTAAATGTTGAATAGCTGCTCAAAGTTTTGCCTCTTGACATATTGCAAATCTAAAAGTTCACAACTCTATTGTAGCACAAAGACCAACCTAATGGCTCTTGGTTGTTTTTTTCTCTACCAGCTCACTCTGAGTTACAATGGTTTAGCAGCCTTCCCAAACATAACAGTCGGAATAACAAATTATAGTACAGTGAAAGGTGGTCTAATATTCAGAAACAGTAAGGAGCCCTTGCCTTTTCTTCATGCCTTTTGTTCTTTTCTCATCAAGCCAAATTCCTTTAATATTCTTTCACTGCATATGCAGAGAGAAAGATAATAGACAGTATTTTAACTCCATTGGCACAAAAATTGTAAGACATTTATCAGTGTCATAATTTACCATTTTCAGCTAGTGTGTATATGCCACCCATTGATTTGTATTGGGTTTGGCTGGGCAGGTTTTGGTAGCACTGTGGGCTACAGAGACAGTTTCTGCAAGAAGCTGCTGGAAGCTCCATCACCTGTCTGATAGAGCCAGCTACAGGATGGACACACCATTGGCTATGGCCAAGACCATTAGTGCTGGTGGTACCGCCTCTGCAGAAATAGATTTAAGAAAAGGGAGAAATTGCTGCTCAGGAGAGATTTCAGCCAGAGAAGGAAGGAGTGAAAATATATGAAATAAACTGTTCCAGATGCTGGAGCAGAGGTTCTCCTGCTCAGCCTACAGTGCACATCATGGTGAGGTGGACTTTCTCCTGTGGATACCCACAAGTGAGCAGACATCCACCTGCAGCCTCTGGGGTATCCCACATCACTGTAGGTGGATGCCCAAAGGAGGTTTATGATTCCTTGAGAGGTCCAGACTAGAATAGGCTTCAGGCAGGACTTTTGGAAGGAAAGGAGCCCATGCTGGAGCAGGTTTGCCAGCAATACTTGTGACCCTGTGAGGCATAATGCTGAAAATATCTAATCTGCAGGGCTGCACCTTTTGTATGAAACTCACACTAGAACAGTGTCTGAAGAACTGCAGTCCATGGGAAGGGCTCACTTTGGAGAAGTTCACAGAGGACTGTCTCCTGTAGAAGGGAAGTAGAGGAAGAGTGGTAAGGGGAAGTAGGGTGGATCTGACATTTATATTCCTATAAACTTTTCAGCTGTGTTCTAAACTTCTGTCCAAAAAGGTTTGTATATTTACTAAGGGTGCAGTGCACACATAGAGATTTCAACTAGCTCTGAACCTGCCAAATGCAGTGTGAATCCTTTCACAGCACTGGGATGCAGAGCTACAGCAATTATATTTTTGGGAGGTCTGAGCTTCACCTACCTCTGCTGGGAAGGTAGCCATCTGTTAAATGCTTTTTTGCAGAATTGAACAGAGATCTTAGTTCTCTCCTAAGAGGTAGGTAATGGCATCTTTTATATATGTGTGTGCATATAAATGCATGCATCCATATTTACATACATACATACATACATACATACATACATACATATATATAAACAAAAGCTAAAAGAGAAATTTCCAGGCTCCAAGGCCCCAAGGCCAGGTCATGTTTCCACATGCTGAGAATTGTCATATCTGTAGCTTCTATCTCTTGCTATAGCCAAAAATCTTTTGCAGGTGAGGGGAGGGGATGTGAGAGAAGCTGGACACAGTAAGTTGAATGGAAATGATTCATTTGTATATTTGAAACTCCGTCAGTACTAGCCAAAGGAAAATCAACAAAAACCAAACCTAAACTAAGTTGCTTGAGATGGAGAGAGTGATTTGAAGGGAGTGCAGTTTGACAAGCCTATTTTTTACACCATCACTTAAAAAAAAAGGACAAACTCAGATTCTTCTCTCAGAACAACTTTTATATGTTTTCAAATAGTGTTTCAAGTAAGTCAAGAAAAATTCCTCTGATTAGGGATATTTTTTGTTATTTTTTTTCCAAGGTCCTTGATTTTATACCTCCGAATGATTAAAACAGAATATCTAGTAACTCACTGACACATTATATCAATTCACAGCAGCATCCCACAGTAATGTGTCTTCTTTTCTTGTATTTTTTAGTGCTTATGCAAACCCTCTTGGAAAGATGATTCCTGGAGCTGAGGTATACTGCAATTAGCATGCTATAGATAGAGAAGTGCATAATATGCACAGTATATAATTTGTCAATGGTAACAATGGTAGCCTAAAAAATTGGTTCCTACCCTGTAAGAATTCTTGAATAAAAGTATCTGATATGCTAGATCCATCTCAGAGAATCAAGAGTGAGAAAATTTAAAATTCTATGTTCAGTGCTTTATCTGCAGAGTATGCAGCGGATAATTTATGTGGCAAATATTAAGTAGTAACAATACAAGAAAATATGAAAGCGCTCTTATTTTATGAAGCTAGTTATGGTATATATGAAATGGAAAGGTACAGAAGGTCTTTTGGGAAAATACTATACAAATAGCAATTAAAAACTGTATTGTAATAATATACGCTAGAGGATAAAAGAAAAGTTCTACAGGCATTCTTAGTAGCATGTCCTAGCTCTCCATAAGTCTGACTTTCTTCCAGACTAATAAGCAATTTCTGCAATCACAGAATGGTTTTGATTGAAAGGACCCTTAAAACCATTTTGTTCCGATCCCCCTGGCATGGGCAGGAATGCCTTCCACTAGGCCAGGTTGCTCAAAGTACCATCCAACCTGGCCTGGAACACTGCCAGGGATGGGCATCCACAACTTCTCTGGATAACCTGTTCCAGTGCCTCATCACCCTCACAGTAAATATATATTTTATAGAGAAATCTGAAATAGTTTTCTTTTTTACATTAATAGATTTGCCTACATTTTATTAAAGATGGTAGAAGAAGCTGTTCCCAAGAAAACAATAAGGATCTCTGCTGTATTTTTATTAGCTGCAGTTGCATCTACAGTATAAATTGTGCTATTATTTTTTTTAATTTATTTTTAGTATGCAATTTTTTAGGCTAGTACAGATATTTCTATATTTTTTAGAGTAGCTTTACAATAAGTTTTAAATTTCTTTCATTAAAAGTAAAAAAGATTTCTATATTTGCCAGTTTTAGATGCAATGAGAAAGAGGACACTAATTTATCAGAAATATGACTGTACTAATGACTGCTGTTTAGAACAAATAATTAATTTGGTAAACATGAGCAACACATTTCTGCCAGATTAGTACTTTTAGATAAAGCATAGGAGAATTTAATATACACAAAACTATGTATTTATTACAACAAAAATGTTTCCAGACATTGATCTATTTCTAAAAACTTTAAGGTTTCAGGTTTTGTGAAACCTGAACTTACTGATGCCATTCAGTATAACAGTAAAATACGTCTTAACAGAAATTTGAAAATTCAAACAAAAGTGGTTTTTAATTGCATTTTCTTTTCTTTTTTGTTACAGCAGAACATCTTAAGTCAAGAAAAACACCTAAAAATAAAGTGTAACATTGATGTCATTATCTAGTTATTCAGATGTCAGCAATACTGGTCAAAGTTTGAACAAAATATCAGCAAAGTTGCTGCCACTTAACTAACTAGCCCAGAAAATTAGATCCTGTTTTGCTGTGTATATTTATGTTAGTCAGTTTTAATGTGCTACTTAACAGTGGAAGCAGCAACATAGTAAGTCTTTTATCCACGGTTTCAGAAGTTTTCTTTCATCTTTTTTACTATTTTTTTCTTTCAGCAATAATAATATTAATGATAGTTAAAAAACTCCTAGTTTTGTGATTGATGTCAGTAAATGAAGACTGCACTCCTCAACTGTAAGAACTATTGAAGTTTTCACAGTATCTGAGAATATTCCCATGGTGCTTTACCAATAAACCAGAATTTCCTGTATGCTACCCTCTCACTTAGTGCATGAAAGAACATGCTTGAGGGTGAAACTAAAGGCATTTTTTTGACACATCAGTTCTAAACTTTTCCAGCCTCTTAAAAGTATAAAACTAAGTATAAAAATTCTGTAATTTCACTGTAGTTATGAGATCAGGTGGCAATTATTTTCCTTATGTTTTGCATTGTGGTTCACAAATGGGTAATAAAGAGTTAATATATTTAATGTATATGGCTTTTATGAGTTTTAGTTTTTCATACTGACATAAAATGACTGGCTTTGGAGAGTAATGTGAGATTTTTTTTACCAGAATCTCCCACAGGTATATCCTGTGAACTACAAAATCTAATTTACAAATATTTCAAAAAGACAATTTAAATACCCTGTCTTCCTTTGATTTATTTCTGACCCACCTTTCCTCCATAGCTACATCTCCCAGAAAAATACAAAGAACTCGCACCATTTTTCTCCAGTTCCTTTCCTTCTTACCTCTTTTTCTCTCACTTTTTGTTTTTTTTTTTCCTTTTTTCTTAATTTATCTGTTAACAATGTCTTGCTTATGATCTTGATTCTGGACATGACAAGAAAGATCAAGAACAAAGCAAAGTAACACGGGAGAAAGTTATTTTTTATCCTCTCTCACTCTTGGTCATGATGCTCAGGGTGGTTTGTGAGTGTAATAGTACCATGAAATTCTCTTACGTTGAACTTCTGGGTATTTTGGAGTGTGAAATGTATTGTTGTTCATCACATCTCTTAGATGTGTTTTTTTACCCTGGGGCAAATTATTTGTCCAAATTCAATAAACATTCTGCTGTGGCTTTCTTAGAAACCACTTTCCCTGAAGTAGTTAATGTCCTCTTATCCTCTGCTATTGAAGAGATTAATGACCCTGATTTCAGTATTCGGCATTGTTGATAATAGGATCTTCCTTAATTATTTCCATAGCAATCCTAGTTATCCTACCAATCTAACCCATTTTTGTCCTGCTTCTTTGTGTTGAAAAACCATCTGCTTATAACATAACAAAGTTAGACTTATGATCTTCCACTGTACATTCCAGCTATACAGCCATCCTCTATTTCCTTGTCCACATTTAACAGGTTCCCATTATTGTTTTACCATAATAAATTCTGAGTGTTTTGTTTCATGTTTTAAGGACAGGAGTACCAGGTTACAAGTTTAACTGTTTGAATTATAATTATTACTAAGACATGAGATCACAAAAAATTTGGCATCTTTGTAAAAGAATATGCAAATAATGTAAAGCAGCTATATAAAAAGTGGAAAGTGGTTACTTAATTTTTCAAAAACTTGAGAAAACCCCAATGATTTTACCATAGCTATATTCATACAATGACTGTGAACCAAGACGCTGCTTTTTTTTTTTACTTTTTTTTTTCATATAGGTGCACTGAGTTGCTGTGAAAGGTTATAATTAGTGGTTATATGGCCTTCTAGGAAAGATGTTCTAGCAGTAACATTTATGATAGCATAGGCTTAGCAGTTTTAGTAGTTGACTCAACAAATCCTATCAGCATTACAAAATCACCAGGACACTGGAAGAATTCTGAACCAATAAGAACTTAGAGTTTTGTTGGTGCATCCTCAAGTCTACAGTCTTTTCCTGGTGAACTGGAAGATATTATCCTTCAAAATAGAAAATTAAATTTTACTTTTTCTAAAAGTTTGTCAAAACATATATTGCATAAAGATTTGAAGGGAGTTGTCCACATGATGCATATGCAGATGGACATTACTCTTTTCTAAGAAGAATGCAGATATATTTTACAGAAAAATCTAGGTGTAGCTTCACTTAACAAAAGCAGATTTCATAATTTTTTTTTTTTTAATTTTGAGAAGAGTCAACAAGTTATGTAGGATAATTTAACAAAATCCCAATTAGGTTTTTATATTTTATTATTTATATCATATTATATTTATTTTATTCTGTTAATACATGCTTCCTAATATCAGGTTCCCTCTCTAATCATTAAGTCCCACTACAAGACTGAAGCTAACAAAATCTGTCCTGACCACCAGTGGAAAAGAGATGTGGCATATAAAACTTATGTAGCAAATATAAAATAACATCCCTTTTCTATAAAAAGTAGAAGAGAAGACATACATCCCTCTTCTACAAAAAAGAAGGAAAGTAGGCATAAAGACTGGCTGTGGAGGAACTGTTTGGGATTTGAGAGTTCTGATTTCTGACCATGGTGTAACCACACGCTATAAATTGGTCACGTGTGTTTCTTTTGCCTAAGTTGCATGGTGCTAAGTAGCAGGCTCTTTGGCTTGTATCCTCATTTTCAGACAAGCTGCTCCAGGTGAGCAGACCAGCTCTGCCAAGGGCAACCACATCCTTTACCATGAAGCTGGGGAACTGGAAGAGTGGAATGTCATATCTTGCCAAATGTCTCTGAGGAGCACAGCAGGCTCAATGAGTTCTGCAATGTATTTCTGAACTTGTCTGCCTATCTAAATATTCATTCAACTGGAAAGCTGTTTTGGGATACAATATCACAGATTTGAGTATGGATTCTAGTAAGAAGCATGTGTCAAAAAAAAAGATTCAGAAATATTGCAGAAGGGTAGGGGAAAGCAGTAGTTTTGACTAGAAACTAGGTTAAAAGAGAGAAATGTATTGAAATAAATGCATCCAATTTAGCTCAAAGTTGGTGCTTGAGGCCTTGATTGTGTTTTTTTCTGCATTGTGGTTTAACCCCAGCTGTCAAATGATCCCACACAAGTCACTACATCACCTTTCCTTCTGAATGGAGGAGAGAATAGGAATGGTAGAAAACTCATGGGTTGAGAGGAAGATAATAGGGAAAGCAAAAGCTATGCACCCTAGCAAAGCAAAATAAGGACTTAATTCATTACTTCCCATGGGCAGGCAGGTGTTCAGCCATTCCCAGGAGATCAGGGTCCCATCATGTGTGACAGTTGCTTAGGAAGACAAACACCATCAATGCAAGTGTCTCCCTCTTACTTCTTCTTCACCCAACTTCATATGCATAATGTCATATAGTAGTTCAATTGATGGATTTCACAATGGCAAGTTTCTGAGCACTTGCTTTTCTTTAAACACAAGTTTTTATAGAAATCACATTCTTATTCAGTGATGTCTTATGGCAGATATTTACTTTAGGGCTTTTTGCCCCCTATGGATCAA